GTGACAGTTCATTGCCAGTCTCGCGCTGTACTGAATATATTCACGCCTTCAAAGTGTGCGATCTTCCTGAAATTCAAACTGGGATTGTTCATGGTGATGGGCTTTCAGGTTCAGACCTGCATTTAACAAAAACTTACGTGATGTGATGTGCTGCTTGACCTAGAGATACCTAGACATTACACAGACCAGACAGTGTCACAGCTCATCCATCTGTCAGTCAGTTAGTAAAGTGATTTGGCTCTCCCTGCCCTCTGCTCACCCACTGGGTCTGGTCTTCTCTTCTTTCCCTGCCTGAAAATCCTGCTTCCTGATACAGACAAGCAGAAGCAGGTGGGAGCGCAGAGCCTCTGACCCCTGAACACCCTCACTGATGCACTGGAATGCCTTCCGGTGCCAGAGGTCGTGACCCCACCTTTGCTTTCCTCTTTCTGCCTGAGCTCACTGTGGCCCCTGGTCCTTCTCATGCTGTTCTTCACTCAACACTTAGTCCTTATAGTCAGATCGGTGGTGCTGAACACTTACACCGCCTATATTCTGCTCGACACCCTGTGAGACACAGGCAGACCTCATCTGCAGAAAGCGAAGTTGGCTGGATATGCTGACACATGCCCAAAATTGCAGCACTCTGGGAAGCTGAGGCAGAAAAATGGAGAATTTGAGCCCAGCCTGGGCAACTTAGCATAACCCTGTCTCAAAACTTTGAAAAGGCTGAATTTAACTCAGTGGTAGAGAAGCACCCTGGGTGCAGTTCCTAGTACAACAAGGAAAAGGTTATAATCTCGTCAGAGAAGTAACGGGAGGAAAATGGGGAAATCACTGCCCTTGACCAGGTGCGTAGGCCAGGTGCGGCCCGGCATTTCCCTCTCCAGATGCTTCCTTTTGGGACTTAGCATACCAGTTATGGGGGCGGAGCTGACTGCCGGCTTAGGAGGAGGGTCCAGAGGATGGGGGTGCTGGCCCCCGACTTCCTCTGCCCCGATTGGAGAGGGCATGGGCTCCGGAGGAAGAGCAGGTTTCACCACAGCTGCCTGTGGCAGAGTTGCCTCCTCCCCCAGCCTCAGAGACTTCCGTCGCCCAGTGTTGGTGGGCCTCCTGGCAGCATCTTCAGCCAACAGCATGCCAATACGTGAGGGTATCGTGGCCTGGGAGGCTTCAGCTGCTACTCCAGCCGTGTGGGTACCTGTGAGCAGTGGCGTGGAGGCAGAGCCAGCAAGCAAGTCCTCCCGTTGGCCCTGAGCAAGCCAGAGCCTGGTCAGAGTGGCCTTCTGCTGTCCCTGCTGTGGCCAGTGGTGGGGGATGAGTTCTCAGGCTTCTGTTGGCTGGGCTGTTCATGGTCTGAAACTGCATTTCTGTGCTGTAAATGTGGCCTTGTAACACGTGCAACTGGCTCTGCAGAGCCACCCCTGGACACAGCCCCGGAAGGCCAGCAGGCCTCCTTCTCCAGAGCACCTGCTCCCTCTCACGTGGAGCAATGCTTTTTTGTCTTCTGCAGATGGAGAAGGATGAAACTGTGAGTGACTGCTCCCCACACATAGCCAACATCGGGCGCCTGGTGGAGGTGAGTGGCCTGCAGGCCGCACGGCCGTGGCAGCGCACAACACCCCGGTGCAGGCCTGTTCAGCTCTGCCTGCCTCAGCCTCTGAGCCTCTTGGTCTGGCCACACACAAGGCCGCGCTCCAGACGCCGCCCCCAGCCAGCTCCCAGAGGGCTGCGCTCAGCCCTTGGCCCTGGGAAGCGTTAAGTCCTGCCTCCCCCAATCCACTGGGTGTGAACACAGACCTGGGCTCGAAAAGGAAGCAGATCGCTGGAACAGGGTGGCCTTGGAGCAGCTTCAGTGGAGGCTGCCTCGGCTGCCTCAGCCGCCTCGGCCTCGCCTGTCACCACTTGTTTGGAAGAGGGGAGGTGCTCTCCGGTTTCACAGGATTGTTCACAGAATTGGTGGCCAGGCCAGGGGTGGAGATGTGGTTTAGACCAGCTCCCAATAGTGGTCAGAGCTGGCCGCCAGTCCCTAGGTGTTGGCTTCCTCCACGCCTAAGGACTGGAAAGGCTCGGAGCCCAAGGGGGGGCCTTGGCAGCCAGGCCCTCACAGCACCGTTGCGCAGCTGCGGGTCTCCCCCGTGTGGTCGCAGTGGGGACTGCAGGGTGAGCGATGGGAGGGGTGGACCTCCTCACTTGTTTCCCAGCCTAGCTGACCACCCTGTCTTCCCAGGACATGGAAAATAAAATCAGAAGTACGCTGAATGAGATCTACTTTGGAAAGACAAAGGACATCGTCAATGGGCTGAGGTAATGTACCAAGGGCAGAAGCTTGACTCCTGGCTCTGCTAGTTAGTAGCTGTGTGACCTAGGGCCTCAGTATCCTCCTTCATAAAATGCAGTGAAAGTACCCACCCCCTGGGACAGTGGCAGGTACCTTCCCTGCCATACTTTGCTCTCTCCATAGCTTCTGGTTCCTGCCTCTTCACTTTTTCAGCCTTTGTTCCCTCATCCCTGGTGTCTGCCTCTCTAGCTCTTCAGACCCATACAGAGAACCTGCCCAGCTCCCTTGGTGCTGGGTCCTGAAGGGCACCACCATCCCCAGCACACCAGAGAGAATGCCTGCTGCTAGCGCCTGGCCTCTTCCGACCAGCACAAGTTCTGGTGCAGCCTACAGACAGCCCTTCCTGCCAGCCGCCTGCTGCAGAGCACAGCAGCTCTGTGTGGCATGGCTGTGGCCAGGGTCCCAAGACGCCCCACCCATGCACCTTAGGCCCTGGGTCTGCAGTATCAGCTGAGCAGAAAGCTGAGAGTCTCGGGGGCTTTGGAGGTAGCCATGCAGTGAGCACTGTTCTTGGAGTCCAGAAGTCTGGGTCTCCTCTAAGCTGTCAGCTGAGCCCTCAAGGAAACCTTCCCCTGCTCCTTACTGCCCCTCATCCAGCAGGGGGTGGGAGAGGTGGGGGCAAGGTTAGGTTGACTGCTGACACCTGAAGGATGCCGGCCCAGGTCCACCATGAGTTCAAGGCCCTGCTGTGCCCTTGGTGGTCAGCCCAAGAGCCCATTCCATGCCCAGGTCTCCTGGCCAAGCCAGAGGAGGGGAGCATGCGATGCTCCAGCCAGGTCCACCTATGTGTTTGTCCAGGAGACACATGGGCATCACCTTCTGTGCAGCCTCATACATAGGAGTCCTTGGTGGACCTGCAGAGTTGTTATGGGTATGAGCCCCTGAAGCCAGCTGCCACTGCCAGCCCTGACCTGCTCCAGAGGGGCCCTGCGCAGCCTCAGAGCTGCTGCTGCCACTCCTGCCTCATGTGTCCCTGCTTGCCCCTGGCCGCCAGCCCCCTGTTCTCACTGTTCTTGCTCTCTCCCTCTGGCTTCACCTTCTCTGAACACTCTTAGATCTCTTGACGCAATCCCCGACAACCACAAATTTAAGCAGTTGCAGAGGGAGCTCTCTCAAGTGCTGACCCAGCGCCAGGTCTACATCCAGCCGGATAACTAAGCCGGCCCAGGTACCCTGCCCGAGAGGCCTGAGATGCCCACTAAACAGGACTCACCAACCCACCGAGACCCCGCAGGTCCGGTGGCTGCTGCGTGGCCACTTAAACTACCACTAACCCCGTGTCCGCTCCTGGCTGGTGAGCAGAATGTGCTCGAACGTGCAGCCTCAGCCCTGCCTAATGCAGACGTGTGTCATGTGTGGTGTGTGTGCTTTGCACTCTGGGCAGAGGCCAGGCGTGGGGAAGACACACGGTTTGGGCTTTTGCTCCTGGAGAAGCCCAGCCCTGGGGACTAACATCACCTCTCAGCAGAGGCACCAGTGTGCACCTGTGTTGTCCCCCCCCATACCCACCCCTCAGGGCAGCCTCTCTGGGTCTTGGGGGCACATAGCCAGCTCGTCCCATCTTCAGCAGGGACTCTAGACACCCAGGAACCCTGCCCCAGTGCACTGAGGACCAGCTGGGAAGGCAGTCTTCCCCAGTCCTGGGCACTGGTTCAGTCTGGGGCTGAGGTCCCTCCAGATGATTGCTGCGGGAACCACCACTGCCACCCATGGTGTTGATGATGGCCAGGAAGCATGACTTGAGCTTTGGACAAATACAGATTGTACCAAGGCAGTCTAGCCTGTAGGTCAGCTGCAATTTGGAACCTTGAGCCCAGAACTAGCACCCCTGCATGCAGTCAGCATGGGGGCACAGGGGTGGAGGGAACAGGGCATTTGGAAACTTGGCAGGTCCTCCCAACCCACCAGAGGCTCGGGGGACTGGCAGTGGGCCAGGGTCAGACATGTGCGTGACCAGGCAGAGCTGTGCTCCTGAGGCTGTGCGGCCTCCGCAGCAGGCTGGCGAGTATGCCGGCTCCGGGTCCACGGCAGCTGTCAGCTCGAGACGCAGAACAGGCTTAGGCTTCCCTTCTTGTGGTGAAACCCCTTTTAAGGCACATGGTGATGGTTCTGCTCCCCAGCTGCCCACTGGAGGCATGGGGGCCTGCCTCCTGGAGCGCAGCCTCAGGCACTGATAGCAGTCCCTGAGGAAGACTTTCCTGAGCTCTGTGAGCTGGGCCTGTGCTCGTTAGGCCAGTGGCTGACTGAGTCTGGCGTCCCCATCTCTAGCTTGATACTGACTGGAACAGTCACCTCTCAGTGCTCAGAACCAGAGTTCTTAGTTCTCCTTCCCACAAGAGCTGGCCCTGCTGGGCTAGGAGCCCCTCTACCACTGCTCAGCCACCATGTCCTTGGGATGGTAGTGTTGGCCGCCCATGGTGAGGAGGCCTGTGGGTGCCCTGTGATTTGGAACCTTGAGCCCAGAGCTAGTGCCCTGCCTTTGCCTTTGCTGCCTCAGAGCGGGACAGGCAGGGCAGACATGCCGAGATGCGTTTCAGCAGCACTGACTGCACGGCAGCGTCTCGGAGGGGATTTTGTGTGTACACAGGTGGTTTCCAAGGCTTGTCTGTGCCACCTCTTAGTTTTCTAAGCTTTTTCTAGGATCTAGTAGCTAGACTTAAGTCAGGATGTTATTGCCTCTTCCATGCATACATCCTTACACACACATACACACACACACACACACACACACACACACACACACACACGTTTTCTGACACTCCCTTCTGGCTCATTTTTCTGTACTTCAGAGCTCTGAGCTGCCTGCCCTCCCTCTCCCCACTGACCCTTTAGGGAATTGCCAGGGGCGTGTGTTTTCTGAAGGGTGTTTCCAGGACAGGACAGCAGGGGTGCAGGCACTCTCATTCCTGTACTGCCTTCTGGGATCCTAGCTGTGGGAGTCCCCAAGTCTGGGACTACATTTACAGAAGCCTGGAAGCACCTGTCCTTCCTCTGTTGCCTTGGCCGTGACCCCAGGGCTCAGACATGCAGAGATGTTGCTCTGGAACTGCTCACAGGGTGGGGCTCTGCTGCCCCCCAAGAGGGGCAGGCTGCTCTGGCCTGGCCTAGTCCCCAGCTGGAAGCCGGGAGTCCAGAGACCACAGTTCGATCTGCACTGAGTGCTTCTGCCCCGGGCCCTAAGCTCTGGCTGCTAGACCCAGGTTGCCCACAGGCTGAGCAGGGCTGACATCCACATGTGGGCTGTGCCTGCCGGGGAGTCCAGCGGAGCTGAGGTGCAGGCCTGCTGCAAGCCGAGAGCCTGGGCCCCCGCCCTCAGCGCTGCGTCTCCTCCTGTTCCATCTATTCAGAATCCCCCCTTTCCTCCCTCACAGGTCTGTGCAGACTTTCGCAGACAAATCAAAACAAGAAGCTCTCAAGAACGACCTGGTGGAGGCTTTGAAGAGAAAGCAGCAATGTTAAACCTCTGCTTTGCGCTAAACAGCCACGCCATGCCCTCATTAGGTTCCTTTCTTAGAAAACTCATTTTCTGCTCCCTGTCCCTCGTCCCTGCCCGCCCCAACAGGTCACATAACAACTTGCATCATCGACCTACCGCACAGCGCCATCTCTCCCTGCGAATAAAGCCCGATAACCACCCTGTCTGGCTCTGAGGCCTGCTTCCCACCACGTTTTGCTATCGAAACTCTCGGTATTTCCATAGAAACGTGTGTTTTTTGTTCGCCTGGGCCCTGTCTCCCCCCACCTCCATTTATAGGCATAAAAAA